ATTTCTTCCATTATTTTTTTTTTTTTTGCAATAATAAACTCATATTCACTGTTACCGCTCTTAACTGGCAGAAACCCCAATTAATGGTATCATCAAGTTGCAAATCTTGCACGGTCAATAAAATTGGAAACTTGTAGTGCTTTTATATAATTTAGCTATGCATTTTTTTATCACTTACGCGAGGGTTTTTTTTATCACTTACAAATTTTTAAATTCAAAATTTTAAACTCAAACATTGTTCAGTAATCCCCTAAATTTATTTCCTGATATTATTATTTTAAACACATCGCTTATAACCACGGTATTCTTCGCCTTTAATTATATCGATGTTTTTATTCATTCAGAGAAGGCAACCATAGCTGTCCTGTACAAATTAGATAGTTTTTTAAAACTAAAGTTTTTTAAAACTAAAAAAAAGAGTTGTAGTACTCAAAAAATATTGATTTAAAACATTAAAAAAGTAAATTCTAAATTTTATATAAGTCATTTTTAGTTCTTGCACACAAACTCAGTTGTTTGTTGATAATTGATCATACAAGGAAGACACGACCAGTTAGAACACTTTTCACATGCAACCCATTTGCTGCTTGTAGTTTTGTCCCAAAGGGTTCCTCAGAAATAACAAAGATGTTTGACATGATAAAAATTACAGCTCACGGCAGGAAAACACTCAATATCTTGACTAATAGACATTGCTATTATTTCTTTATATTTCTAAGGGGTTTGTTAAGTTTTAAAAACATTTTTTCTTTTCTTTTTTTAACTTTTGTTTCTTGAGAATTGCTGCGTATAATTTTTTTTTTCAGATAATCTTTTTAACTCAAAATCGATGCGAGATGTCTGGCCATCTAAAGATAAAAGTTTAGATCAAAGTTTGTTTCCATAAAAATAAAATTGAACGAAACTTTTTTATGAAACTTTTGTTTTCCATCCAACCTGATTTGCTGGTTGAGTAGTAAAAAACGGAAACACCACCTTGAACTCAAGCTCTTATCATATTTCAACCTCTGTAAATGACTTGATGTGATAAGAAATTCCCAAAAGCATTGCAACAATTTAAAATTGTAGTCATTTTTTTTTCATTTATTGAAACAAGTTGTTTAGGATTTTATAATCCTTTTTGAAAAACAATGTTGACTTTAACTTGATCAAATTTTAATCCCAAAGAGCTTTTTATTAAAATTATGCTCTCGATAAATACCGTTAACTTGGGCAAACCAATCATCAATAATCGCCGGTTTGCAAAGACACCGCTCTTACAGCTAGCATGCTAGTGTAAAAAAAACATTTCTTTCACAAATGTTTTTTTTCCATATTTTCCCATTAAACCATAGTAACACTTTCGAGTTGGTTTACCGGCCTTAAATAAATAAGTTTGTTTAGATTCTTTCAAACAGTTTTCAATCACAGTCAAATATCTTTTTTTTTTTAAGTTAAGAAAAAATATTACTGCAAGTTTAACTATAAGCGTCTCCGTTACTTGGCCTAATGCGTATTGCCTACCAACACCTGCAGCTCCATTTATTCCTTTTAATCTGCAAAAAATAGTAGTTTTAAGAATGTTATAGAATGAAGTGGTTTTTGAATATGACATCTTCTTATTATTAATAGCTTCAATACAAAGTTGAATTTTTCCTTCACGATCTTCGTTTTGTTAACTTTTGACATTTTCTAAAACTTTTAGTTTTTTTTAAATGCGCGGCCGTGGCGCAGTGGTTTGAGCGCTTGCTTTATAAGCAAGAAATCCCAGGGTTCGAAGCGAGCTTTGGACATATTTAGCCCCATCGGGTAGGAAGGAGGCGTGAACTTCCTATTTAAAATGCTCTTCTTTGGGCACCTAAAACAAAAATTAAAAAGAAAAAACATTTACTCCGCTTCCCTCTGCGTATGTTCGCATTATTTTTTACAAAATCAAACCCCTTTCTCTTCCCCATTGAAAATTTTTTAAAACGTTTAAAACAAAAAAACTTTTAGTTTTTTTGTTTTAAACGTTTTAAACTCTGTTACATAAAAAAACGTTTTAAACTCTGTTACATAAAAAAATATTAATCTTTTAAACTTGTTAAATTCATTGCTTTTGTCAAAAAAAAAGAGAAGAAATTTAAGAGTTATAGATAACAAGAGTTAGTCTAACCGCATTGTAAATGTGATTGGGTAGATGACGCAATGTACACAATCACATTGTAATATAATAATTGTATATGTGATTGTATAGACTTTTTGCTATTTAGCAAGAATTTAAAGGATCCCTAAATTATTGAAGCCTGAATAAAAATTGTTCCGTTGTTGAACCAGTCTTGTTTTTATATTGATTTGATCCATTATTATTTAAATGATATGATATTAAAAAATAAAAAGCGAATAAAAATTACTTTATTATTTTTACAACAATTTATTTCGGAAAAAAATATTTTTTCCATATTTTGACTAAAAAGACTTTTAGTTGATTTCAAAAAAAATATTAGTCGACTTTAGAAAATATATAAATCGATTTAGTCGACAGTCAAATTATTCTAAAGTTGTAACAACAGTTGAATCAACCATCTTGAATTGGGGGAAAACAAACTAAAAAATCAGTAGCGGTTTGCTTAGTTTTTTTTAAAAAAATCCCAAAAAGTTGTTGTGTAGTTAGTTGCACTAGCAATATTAAAAAATAATCAAGAACTTAAGTTTTATAGCCTTCCTAAAGATAAAGTATTTTGGCTAAATGCGATAAACCGTGGTGCAAATAAGTATTTTTTGTAGCAAGCAGCGATCTCCTGAATCTTCTAATGTTTATTTTTACTCGGCACATTTTAATACTGGTGGGTTTCTTTTACTTTACATCTTAACATAGTTTTTGTAAATACATATGCAAATACCAATGCTTTTTCTGCCACAATATTTACAAATGTTTAGATAAAAGAGAACTTTTTGAAAAACATCAACTCAATTTCTTCAATCTTTGATACTAAAAAACAAAGTTCTTCTCATAGAAATACTGATATTATTATATCTTCACTCCAAGAACATGCTGTAAACTTGTACGGGCATTTACTTAACCCTAAAATAACCAAAATAATATGTAGACAGCAATGTAATGCATTATTTTATTTAAACAGAGATTTAATAGTATGTAAAAATAAAGTGAAAACACCTAAAAGACAAATTTACGCTGATATCTTTCCACTGTTACTTTTGATAAACTTTTAAAGTAATTGTAGAACATATTTCTACTGTTAAAGTGTGTTTTCTTAACTTCGCTTATAAGAAATAATAGTTTGTTTTCCCCCAATAGACGATATTTGATAACTTTTTCAAAAACTTTTCGCAATGCATTGTGGGATCACCTGGGGGATAACAAAGTATCCGTTACAACTTTATGAAGCATACGTTTATAGTAGTTCTTTTTAATTTAAACTTTTAAAATTTATTAATGGATTTAAAGACAGAATGTTTTAGTAAAGGATTTCATGAATGAGTTTTCAGCAAAAGGTCTATAATTTGATAACAATGTAAATAAATGTAGCATTGTGTCAAGTTGTAATCTCTCTTCATATATTGATTCTGCAGATAATAGTAATTTGCCAACAACAAAAGTACCAATCATGCCTGTTTCGCTGAAAAAACCCCAAAATTTGAAGAATAGACTCTACTAAAACTTCAAGAGTATATAAGTGATCATGGTATCAATAGGTAGCCATTCCAGACGATTTTTTTATAATTCAAATAAGCATATAAAATTTATATCATTGTATAGAGCTTGACTTAACTTAAAAAATGAGGGGTCATTCGGCTTTTGAGGTTGAGCGGATCCAAAGTTATTGAATTTTTTGTAGTGAAAAAATTGATGATTTTTTGATGAAAGGTATAGGGCTTAAGTATGGAAAATTTGCAGTGTAATGGCACCGAAAAAGAGAGTATTTTTGGATCATATTGAATTTCGAATAACTTTTTAACCGTTATTACATTTGACTTGAAATTTTCCATAGTGATTCAACAACTATAAGAAAATAAAATACCAAAAAAAAATTTTTTTAATTCTATTGGGATTGTCCAGAATTGTCTATTTTACAGACTAAGGGTTTTTACTTATTTACTTAGTTTTGGTGTCATATTGACTCTTGAATAACTTTTGAACCCTTATTACAATTGGCTTGGAACTTTCCATAGTGATTCAACAACTGTAAGAAAATAAAATACCAAAAAAAAATTTTTTTAATGTGTCGGGATTGCCCATAATCATCTATTTTACAGACTGAGGGTTTTACCTTATTTAATTAGTTTTGGTGTCATATTGACTTTTGCATAACCTTTGAACCATTAATGAATTTGACTTGAAATTTTCCATGGTGATCCACTAACTATTAGAAAACAAAATACCAAATTTTTTTTTTTTTTAATCTGACGAGATTGACCAGAAACATCTATTTTACAGACTGAGGGTTTTCACTTATTTACTTAGTTTTGGTAAATAAAATTTGGGGTTATATTATAATTAAACCATGCAAATATGAATAAAGGAATCATGGAATCAAAATAGTACATTATTTTGAAATTATTGTATAATTTACAGACCGGTCAGTAAATTACTGCAAAAGGGCTGCACAAACCAATTGACATGTCGACTTTGCATATATTTGATATTTTTGAACCATTATTACATTTGACTTGAAATTTTCCATAATGATCCGGTTTTTTTTTTAAATAAGACGGGATTGACCAGAATTGTCTATTTTACAGACTGAGGATTTTTACTAATTTACATAGTTTTGGAAAATAAAATTTATGGTTATGTTATAATTACACCATGCAAATATGCATAAACGAATCATGGAATCCAAATAATACATCATTTTAAATTTATATTATAACTTACAGACCAGTCAGTAAATTACTGCGTAAGGGATTATTCAGAATGACCTATTTAACAGACAGAAGATTCTTCAATGAAGTTAAATTTGAATTTTTATTGAAAATAACTTACAGCAAATGAATGTCCTGAAATTTGGAGTACTTACAACAGAGCAATAGGCAAGCATAACAGCAGAATCTCTACCTAAAAATGTTACAAAAATATTATTAGAAACACATACACAATGTGTTAAAAATATTTTGTTAATTTGAAAAAGTTTAAAAATTTAAAAAATTCAAACTAAATAAGTATAACATAAGAAACTTACTCTTTGAAATTGTTTATGTGAACTATTGACAATGCCTATGATAAAAAAATGAAAAAAACATAAAAAAATGTTTTTATTCTAAAATTTATTTCTTGGCTTTTAGTGAATGATTGGAAGTAGCAAGTTTCAGTAACGAAACCAACTAATAATCATTTTTAACAATAGACACCAGCGAGAAGGTAAGCCAAGTTGTCTATCAACACAAAACATCACAACAATAACATCACAATCACAAAACAAACAGACCTTGTGGCACTAAACGCTCCTAAATTGCAATGATATTGATATTCCTATTCTGAAGAATAGCAACACTGTTACTATGTCTCCTAATTTATATTATCTCAGATTATCTCTTCGTACTGAAAGTACGAAGAGATAATCTGAGATAATTCGTCATAAAAACCTTATCATCATTGTTTTAGCGTCCTTGTTTCCGTGCTTGCATGGATTTGATGTTTTTCATAATGCTGTTTCTCCAACATACACGGTCTTGAACATTTTCTTTCCTTAATGTAACTTTTTCAAATCATCTGAAACACACTCTTTCCAGTTTTTCCTTTTCTGCCTCAACCTTTTTCTCCTAAAACTTCTAACTTTCTACTTGCTGATAAGCAGTCATCGCTCTAAATGCCCAAACCACCTCAATCTTTAATGACGCACCCTATCAGATACACTCACTATATCTAATCTTTTTCTTAAATCATCACTGCTTTGAAATGCTTATATACAAAGCATTTCAAAGTTAATATTTGTATATTTTATTCCAAATCCTCCAAAAATTCTTAATCATCTAGTTTTTTCCCTCAAAACATCAGTTCTTTGGAATTCACTCCGTCTTGTTTTCCTGATTCATATAATATGCAATCTTTCAAGTTGGCTACAGACAACTTGAAAGATTGCATATTATACGAATCATGAAAACAAGATGGAAGTTTATATAGCAAGATAACAATTAACAGGTTAATTGTTATCTTGCTATATAAACTTTGTTTTGGCTCTTCCAGTAACTTCCAACTCTAAAAGTGGTTGCTTGTAGCCTTAAAAAAAAAGATGTAAAATAAAGAAATAAAGATATATAAAAATCTCGGGGAACATAACAACAGATTTTTTGAGCTCAGTTTTCTCTTTTATTGATGCTTTTTCTGATGTTGTTGGTTTGTTACCTTCTGATGCTTGTTCTACCCCTATTTCTATCTACAGTAGTGAAATTGTTCCAAATCAGGTTACTGTTTTTGTATCTTGTGATTTAAACTTGCAAATAGATAATCATGATTTTTTGTGCTCTGTTACCTAAATTCAATTGTATTTGTAATCTTCTTGAAACACAAGTTTATGAAGAGAATCTTCCAGTTTCCGATAAGAATAAAAAAAACTCTTGTAAGTTTTGAAAGTTCATACAGAATATCAAAGGTGCGAGAGTTTTGAGAACTTTTAAAACCACCATGAATACTACCTTCCTGCTCAACTACTTTTTCCCATTCTATGATTGCTTTTTCTGCGTATATTCCTAGATTGTGGATAACGTGTAAGCCACAAAAAACATGATGCATATCAGAAATTTTTCATTTTTCATTTAAAGGAAGCTGATCATAGTTTTTAACAACAAAAGGCAAAATTGCTTTTCTCCAATGTTTAAATTGGTTAAAAAAACTTGAATTAACTATAGAGAGATCTATCATCAAAGATTTGAATGAAAAAATAAGTTTCCTAAGATCATCCTCATAGTTTTCCTTTTCAGAAGAAAATATCTGAGACATATCAGTGAGTAAATTTTTTAGCTCTCCAAAATAAGATTGTGCCTCTCCTGAAAACATATCTTCTATCCCAAACGTGTAGCTACCAGATGATGTTGTGACTTAAAAACTACCAACCTCCCTAAAATTTATGTTTATCTTTGTCCTTGCAAATTTGTAGAAAATGGCTATTGGTTAACACAAAATCAGGAAACTTGAGAGAAATAATGTCATCATTTATATCGAGAAAATCCAAAATATTCTTGGAGGTTACTGTTTCTGACAACACTTTGTTAGCTAAAGTTAATATTAAATTTAATTTGAGTGATTGCAACAAATCTTTTGTTGATCAAAGAGCCGAAGTTTGATGATGTACCCCTTATCTAGCTTTGTGAAAATAAAATAAAGGTAGATCATCAAACTTAAGTTTCTATAAATAAAATTATGGAAATCTAAAATGTTTGTGATACATTTTTCCGGATTTAAAAATTTACTCCTATCAAAGTATGACTTACATTCTTGACTTATAGATTGAACCACCTTTCACGTAGATTGTTGATTTCACAGCCTAAAAGTACGGAATTTGAATTTTATTAGAGTTCATTGGTTCTTTTATTTAACCAATAGAAAAAATATAAAAATAAATGAAAAAAAATAAAGTGATAACGTTCTTACACACTTCCATTTTGTGAACTTTAGACTAAATGTTTAAGTTGACTACTATTCCTTTTTGTTTTGAAAAAAACAGTTTAGAGAATCTACAGACTATAGTAGGAACAGTAAGAATCAAGCTTGGGCTGAGCAATCCAGACTAAATACCTTTAAAAATATAAAATCTTTATTTTTATTGTCTTGAAAACTTAAGTCATTAATAAAGAAATATACTTTCACTTTCAATTTTATTTGTAGTTAAAATTTCGGAATTGCAAAATCAAAACAAAAAACGTCATAAAATACGCGAGGAAATATAGATATATATACACATAATTTTTATTTACAAATCCGAAGAACCTATTCTTTAAGAAAATATAAATAAATACTTGTTTTAAAAAGAAGAAAGGCTAAACTTGCCATTTCCACTTGAACACTTTCAAAAAACACTTTTTTTTCTATAATAATTAACCTTGAAGTTTTTAAACGCTGAGAACTAAAAATTTATGTATAAATGTTAAAAAGTGTTCACATTCCATTAGATTCCTCAGCCTTTTTTTAATATATACGGAAAGTTTTATAAAAAGTGGATGTGTTTTGGTACTTCGGAATCCTTACCTACAAAAGCTTCGTTTTTAAAAAACGTTCCTGCTTCAAGATTTTTTCTCAAAAGTGGTCTCAAGATATGGATAATATTTAAGTGAAGACATTTAAAGCATTGTACTTATCATATATGGCTGGAAAGAGGTTGAGTAACACTAATTGATGCAAAAAACCTCAGGTTGCCTGCTTTTCCACACAAAAAGATATGAGAGAGCAAAGTTCATGAAAATTTCGTGTTTTTTGTCAAACGTCAAATATTTTTCGCTGAGCCGTGGAATCGCTACAATAGGAGTGGTAACAAGCAAACTTTTTTCAACTACACTTTAGTAGTGCTTAATATGAATCTTCCTATCACTGTTACTGATGCTACAGAAGAACTTAATGAAATACAACAAGATGTTTTGAAAAAACTTTTTATTGAAAAGTACAAATACCTCATCCTCTAAATTTAAAAAATGGTTGGGCTGAAGTACCTGCAAATTTTCATTTTAAAAAAAGCTAAAATAAAAGAAGAAAACGTAAGTAATATATTCAAGAGGCAAAAGATAGCTGATAATTCTCTTACTGAAAGTGATATAGATTCACTTGCTGACATCACAAATGATAACTGTGGGTTAGTTACACTAATGCGTAAAAAAAGAATGCATTTTAATATCTGTGTTGTGCAAAAAGAAATTGAAATAGCAGCATCTTTCTTAATTGATTTTCCAAAAATGATTGCAGAAGTGATTAAAACAGTTAGTCATGCACTTTTGATATATTAATGAAAAACTTAAAAATAACAAAAGAGTAGCAATTTTTACTTATGGAAAAAATAATCAATAAAAATTCAAGTGACTTATGGTTTCAACATCGGAAAGATAGAACTACTGCCTCAAACTTTGAATCTGCTGTCAATAAAGTTAATGGCAATAATATTATTATTAATCCTGACAAATCAAAATCACTGCTAAGCAAAATTTGTGGGTACTGCACAAAAATTCAGTCAAACGCTACAAATTGGGGTATTAGTAATGAGTCAATTGCTCGAAAAAAATATATAAACAACTTCATAAAACATTTAAGGTTAAAATGGCTTTTACACAAGCTTATTGCAGCCTTTTGTAGGAGCAAGTCCTGATGGTTTAGTCTCTTATAATTGCCATGAACCTGGATTACTGGACATAAAGTGTCCATGAACACATAGAGGACTTACTATAAATTAATTTGTCTTACAAAAAGGTGCCTACTTGGAAGTTTATCAGGATAAACTTAGCTTAAAAAGAGACCATGCTTATTATTACCAAGTGTAACTGCAAATGTATATAACAGTTTAAATGGTGTGATTTCTTTGTCTAAAGACTATTTCTGTGACCGTGTTTGTATAAATGACTCTTTTATGAAAAAAGCAATTTCAAACACAAAGATTGTTTATGGACCATTAATAATGTCTGAGATATGTTTTCGAAATTTGTATCGTTTTATAGTAATAGAAGATGTTGAAAAAATACTGAATGACTTGTTAAACAAGTTATGCAAACCATACAATAAAAATGTTGAAAGTTTTATTGAAAAAATTAATGATATAATTGATTTTATAATTGAAAATTGAGTTTGACTGATTTTTAATTTACTCTTGTATACATTTTTTAAAATTAAAACTTATATATTTTTTTGTGTATTTTTAATTATTTTTATCCATAAGATATTTTGAAATGCTGAAGCATAAACTTTTGTTTACTTTTAATTTAATTGTCTTTAATGCTTGTTTAATAAAGTGACTTTATTAAACAAGCATTTCCCAGCTAGCACGCATACGTTGGCCAACGTCGGACTAACGTCGGAAGCGTTGGACAATTTTATTATCTAAGAGCTAACGTCGAGCCAACGTCGGGCCAACGTCGGACTACGACTAATTTTTAGCAACTTCAAGTTTTTGAGTTGAAATGTTTTCCGGACTTCGTAGAAGCTATTTAGCGCAACTTTTTGTTTAAGAGTTTTATTTGTTTTGGTTTGAAATACAACAACAACAACAATATATTTACCAGAGATATAGATATACACATTAGTTTCGGTTAAATAGATATTATATTGCACTCAATATTCTGGATGGTTCACTCTCTAATAGCAGAGCTAAATCTTGGAGATCAACCACGGACAAACAAAAAGAAAAAAATAAAAAAGGAAAAAATAAGAGGATAAAGTGTTTTTAACATACACACATATATATACACTTTTATAACGTATCTCTTGAATATAATATTTATACTTTTATGTTTTTTTTTGCAATTTTTAGTACGGAAGCAAAAGAAAGATAGAGACTAAATTAAAAAACTTCCGTTTTTTAATTTGGTTTTAAATACATGTGTTTGTAGATCATAAAAAAGGACATTATTTAACTGGTTTTGCAAATTCCATTCTTTAATAGCTGAATTTATGAAGGAACATTTTCCATAGGAAATTTTATTGTAACTTTGGATATTTAGGTGACTCCTATTTGAGCATCTCGTAAAGTGGCTGCTTACTCCTTTACGCAGAGTAAACCAATCATTAAATATGTGGGAGTTTTCTATTAGCCATCTGTGTATAAAAAGGCACTTTTCAGTTTTTAATATAAATAGTACAAATTTGGAGTTGTTTAAAGTATGTATCTGTATTAGAATTATATGGCAGAAATTTAATTATTCTAATAGCCTTCTTTTGAAGGTTCCATAGACAATTAACAATTGATAGGTTTTGACCCCAGGTCGTGAGGCTGTACATTAGATGAAAATGAAATAGAGCGTAATTAATAGATTTTAAAGTTTTTTCATCAACAAAGTGTATTTTAGATAAAATAGCAATACTGTTGTTTAATTTAGTTGAGATATTATTATATTGATTAATCCAGGTAAGATTCTCATCCAGTATTACTCCTAAATAAAAGCTTTATTGTAAGGAGTTTACAAACTCCTTACAATAAAGCTTTGTCCCATTTAATTTAATATTGATTTGCATGTCTAACTTTTTTTGCTTGCTTTTAAATATTATCAGATCATTTTTTTTTTGTATTAAGGGAATAATTGTAATAATTGTTAGTAATTTAGAATATAATATCAGATCATTAAAAAAAAACATGTGGCAAACATGCTCAAATTTTAATATTGTTAAATAAATATGGACTTGTTAATTTTTCCCTAAAATAATGATTTACTTAAGTAATACGCAACTTTAACTATGTAGTTAAATACAATGTAGCTGTACAGATACATAATAAGTACATAAACTCGTGTTTATATACTTAATAACTGCCTAGCTAATGCATCATTTTAAATCATTTATCATAAAATTTAGCAAAACGATTTCTTTATGTTTGAATCAAATTAAATTTCCTATAAGTTGTTGTTCATTCAAGTTATGCTAAATAGTTGTAAAGATTTTGTTTTGAAACATAAAAATATTGAATCACGAGAAGAAGTGGTAGAAAGGGAATCAAAAAAGATTGAATCACGGGAAGTAGTGGTTTTGAGAAGATGTACCACTAATTGTTTGCTGCATAACGAAAAGGTATCATTAATTTATCATTTAAAACTGAATAAATACTTCACTTTTGTGTTTATTTTACTTTATTATAAAACCTTATTAAGTTTGAGAATACAAGTATTTCAAGTTTTACATACATATATGTATATTCAAGTCTATGGAATCATTTTATGTCATATTCCTGTGTCACTTTCTTTTGAGTCTGTTTTAAGTTAGTAAAAACATTTCGGACAGTAGAATTCCATTGTTAATTATTAAAAATAATAGATAGAATAATAGATTCTAACTGAAAATTCTGTTGCTGTTGTGCCATCAATTTGGGTTGCAGGAGAATCCAACTTATGTTACTGGCCACCTTATCGTGCATCTAGATTAGAGACAGCAGTTAAAGAGATAGAAAAATCAACAATCGATTGGTAGCGCATTGATAATGTGCGTGTGTTGCATTATTATGGTAATTAGACTTTTTAAAAGACTTGAATATGGTTTGAAAATAAAGTTAAATGTCTTCAGTTGTTTGAAATGAGAATTGTTATTTTAACTTATTTATATTACATGATTTTTATTTTACTTTATAAATTTATGTAGATAGATTACCACAAAGCAAGGCTTAATTTATTTAAACCAGAGCATGACACATCAGCATTAGAGTCTGAAAATGAAAATTTTGGACAACTGAAGCAAAAAAAAATTGTGTCTGACATCAGTGAGGGCAATGAGGATTTGAGTGACACAAACATCTCATTATTATCAGCTTCAACACCTTTACCAAGTTCTATTACTAACAGAGTACAAAAAGGTAAGATTTAGTTAGTTTTTTAATAAAAATTACAGTTTTCTGTATGTCTTAAATTGCAAAAGAATCCTGCTTCTTCTTTAACAGTTCTTTATAAATGAGTTATTATAATTATATACATATATACATATATACATATATATATATATATATATATATATATATATATATATATATATATATATATATATATATATATATATATATATATATATATATATATATATATCTTGAGCAATGTAATAGCAACATAATAAATGTGAACATATTTAAAAAAAAAAATCACGATATTTTTTAATCTTGACATGTTTCGTAGTTAACCTGCTACATTTTCAAAAGATAAAATTATAATTTAAAACTGTTTAAAGTCATTTATTGATGTGTATACAACTTAATATATATATATATACATATATATATATATATATATATATATATATATATATATATATATATATATATATATATATATATATATATATATATTCACACACACACACACACACACACACACACACACACACACACACACACACACACACACACACACACACACACACACACACACACACACATATATATATGTGTGTGTGTGTGTATACATATATACATGTGTGTGTATATATATATACATGTGTGTGTATATATATATATATATATATATATATATATATATATATATATATATATATATATATATATATATATATATATATATGTATTTACATATATTTATATATATGTATGTATATGTATGTATTTATATATATTTATATATACATTTTTTAATTTTTATTGTAGTTATGCTAATGCCTAAAACTCAGCAAGCGAAAGATACAATTTCAGAAATACTATCGTGTCGCATAAAGAAGAGCATTTGAACGTTCGAATTACTCTGAAGAGAAGTAAAGACATAAGATTTGTAATGAAACTGACTACAAAGACGAAAAGAACGTTGTTATGTTTAAAAAATGTGTATAGTTTGTATGAAAATTTTAACGTAATTATAAATACTATGACAAACTTTAATTTTTTTCTGCGTTGTAAAGGTAAAGTTGCTTCTTTGATTAACATTAACGTTTGATCTTTATTTATCAGTATCAAAGTTTATGCAAAGTTTATTAGGAAAAAACAATTAATTAATCCAATAGTTTTAAGAAATGTTACAAAGAACTAATTGAACTTGTTTAGCTTTTGAATCAAAAACAAAGTTTTCGCAAACAAAAAATGAATTAAAATTTTGAATATTACGTTGGGCGAACGGTAGAATGCGACGCTGGCCCAACGTCGGATGCCGACGTTGAGCCAACAATTGGGTGCGACGTCGCGCCGACTACCAAATCGACGTTGGGCCAACGTCGGTTACCGACGATCGGCCAACCAATTTCTCGACGTCGGCCCGACGTTGGCCCAACGTATGCGTGCTAGCTGGGTTGGGAGACCTAAGTATATTAACACTACATTTGGGAGACCTAAGTATAATAATCATGCAATATAAAAAAATGCATAATGCAACTTATCTATAAAAAAATATTTCCGGTAAGACAGGAATGATTTTGTAGGATGAAGTTAGGGGGAGTGCGTTAAAAGGTGCACATGTTCACACACATTCTGCAATAATTACGAATTTGTTTATAAACAAATAAATATTATGCCCTATTTGAAATATATTTTGACTGATAAATTACATTTATAAACTGGTTTATATAAAACTTATTTATAAGTTTTATATAAACATCTTATAATTGTATTAAAAAAATCTGCAATTAACACGAATCAACTATAGATAGTAATCTCGTTAAGTAAATAAATAGTTGATTATTTTTAAATCCCCCAGACAATACCAGAACCCTTTGCGCGCTTAGCGATTTTAAAGTTATCAAATATCGTCTATTCAATGTTTCGCAATTTGTCACGATTTTTTGATTGGATGGATAGTAATGAATTATTAAATAAGTTAAATGAAATTATAAAAACTGCAAAAAGTAAAATTTTAGGAAGAGATATTGTAATTTCAGATGTACAGCTTGCTTTGTACAAGATGTATATGGAACATTATTCGGAAGAGAAACTTAAACAATACCAAAGTGTTATAGAGGAACTAACAAAAAAGAAAGAAACATCAAAACTAGATAAAAAAGAAATTACTAAACTTAATAATCACATACAATATTTACGTGAACAAGAGTATACCAAGGAAATGTTAGATATATTAAAACAGGAGCATATCTCAAAAGGAGATGCTGTTAAGATATTACTTCCTTTTGCTGACCCGACTCTTGATGCAAGCTTTAAAATGTTATTCGGACAAGATGAAAACAGTGATATTTTAATTAGCCTATTAAATAGTTTGTTAGATTTTAAAGGTAAAGACCTTATAGAAGAAGTAAAAATTAATCCAAATGAATTAGTTGTTTCTAATATTTCTTATAAAAAAGGAGATACAGGAATATCAAGTGCTGTAGATATCCTATGTACTACCAATGATGGTCGTCAAATAGCTATAGAAATACAAGGGCAAAAAACGAATTATTTTCTAACTCGAGAACAAGAATATATGGCTAAGCTGATATATGGTCAGGTAAAAGAAGGACAAGGACATGAATATCATGTGAAAGTGTTAGATACGTATATTTTAGTTATTGGAAAAGAAAATATGTTTGTTGGTAATACAGCTCTAAAAGGAAAGGTATTAAATAATACTAAACTAGATTCTCAGGAGCTATTTGAAATAGATGTGGAACCAAGAATAAAACAAACAGGTGAAGTAGTGCCAGGCAACAAAATGCATTGGAAGTTTTTTGAATTACCTAAATTTAGAGTTAGTGCTGAGTATAAAAAGATAAAGGGATATGATTTAGTTATTGATAATAGTAATAAAAAATTGTATCAAGAAAAAATTGAATGGTTAAATAACAACTTAAAAGAACAATGGTTAGAGTTTTTAATTGAGTGTAGTAACCAAATAACGATACCAGATCGTAATAAATTAATAAAAAAAGGGTATGAAATTATGAAATTAGTAACTTGGGATTCAGTAGATCGTGCTTTGTTATGGAAACAAAAACAGAACGAAATAGATGCTATGCAACAAAAAGAATTTGATAAAGAAGAAGCCTTTCATCAAGGTGAACTAAAAGGCATTAAGATAGGAAAATTGGAAGGCACTAAGATAGGAAAATTGGAAGGCATTAAGATAGGAAAATTGGAAGGCCTTAAGGAAGGAAAATTAAAAATGTTATTGAAACAAGATATACAAAAATTACAGAAACATTTTAAGCGAAAAGATGAAGAAGAATTAGATAAAAATGAAACTTTCCTTTCTAAAAAACGTTACTTAAAACAATTAGATAAAGAACAAAAATGGGGTGCGACCAGTGTGGAGGAAAAGTTTGAGTTTATTACAAAGCACATAAAAACCCATCTAGATGATAAATATGACAAAATTTCTAATGATCTGGGATTAGAAGGAAATAGTATGGATTTGGAGAATATTTCTGATTGTGATGAATGGAGTTCTATATAAAAGAAATTGTTCTTTGATACTACTCTCTTAATTTTTAAGATTAAAAGTAATCGATGTTTTTATTCATTCAGAGGTGGCAACCCTAGCTCAATATCTTGACTAATAGACATTGCTATTATTTCTTTATATATAATACTATTTATATGTGGCTAAATTATAAAAATATTTTTAACCAAAAAACTTTTATTTTTCGTTTGCGTCTTCTTCCAAATTTAGGTTTAGCAGAAAAGTAAAGTTATTCTGTTTATTTATTACTTAGATTCAATCAATCAATCAATATATTTTTCACAAAAATAGATATTGTTTACAATATAATATAAATATTACAACTATATTATTGTGAAGGGACAGTGCAAATAGTACACGACTAATTCAAATTCAAAAAGATTAATTGTAGTTTGCGGAACTACTGATTCAGTTTTTTTTTGTTTATTAGAGTTTATGAAAATTGTAAAATTTATGTACTGCAAAATTGTGAGTTGGTTGAAGCTGCTGGTAATATTTGAGTGGGTTGTGATGTTATAACTTTATGTTGTTATATAATAGTTCTTAAATTTATAACACTTCTAATTAAAAAAAACTTTAAGTAAAAATTATGGGGTGGCTTTGGCCACAACTTGGGGTGACTTTAACCTAAGCGAAAAAATGTAATTATTTGATTTTCAATCATTGATTTATTATTATTTATTTATTATTATTATTTTTTTGATTTATTATTATTTTCAATTATTGATTTATTTTTCAATTTTTGTTTTTAGGATAAAACACTAGTAAAAAATCTTATTTATAACAAAAAGATTATGTCAAGAACGTATAAATGTGATGCTAGGAATCATGATTATATTCCATTTACCCAGGAAACATTACTAAATGTTTAAATAAAGTAAGAAGTAGTAGTTTAATACAAAAAAAAATGCTTCTTTAACCTTAAAAATTCCTTTATCAACAATAAAAAACAAACTGAAAGACTTACATAATAAAAAACCTTATGTAGGCTGTAAAGAAATGTTTATTAGGCAATTTCTAAGAAATCTGCCTGGTGTTGAATGGGTAGAATCATTCCTTAAGAGAAATACACAACTAAGTGTTAGATTTGCAAGTAGCATTAAAATAAAGAGGGTAGAAGTAGATACTGTTACTATTAAAAGCTTTTTTGATAATATCACTCCTGAACTGACAAGGGGTTCCTACATTAAACATTTGCAATTACGATGAAACTAATTTAACTGATGACCATGGTAATAAACTAGTAATAACAATGCGAGGGTCAAAATATTCTCAGAGGTTATTTAACTCAACAAAGTCTGCTATATCTTTGAGGTATTGTAATAATGCAGAAGGAAATATCCTTTCTTTATACATTGTCTACAAATCAGATTTGATGTGGACAACTTGAACAGAAGATGGACCAAAAGGAGCATGTTATAACCACTCAAAGAGCTGATGGTTTGACCCCAATTGTTCACAGATTGGTTTGAATCTTTATTGTTGCTTGAACTAAAAAAAAAATCTGGAAAACATGTTCTAATTGGAGACAAATCATCATCACATATAAATACATATGTACTTTCTTTGTGTGAAGAAAACAACATCAAGTTGATTGCACTTACTTCGAACTCCATGCATTTAATGCAGCCATAGGGTGTTGCATATTTTCCACTAATGAAAGCTCAGTGTAGAAAAAGACAAACATCTTGGAAAGAAAGTGAAAAAGGGCATAAAGCTCCTTCCCTTCCAAAAGACCAATTTTTAGCATTGCTTAAATGTCTCATGAATAAATTTGAAGATATCACTGTAGAAATAGGTTCTCTTTTCATTGAGTCTTTCATAGTTAAAGCTAGAGGTAATGATTATATACCCTCATAAAAAACAACAAAAAGTCTCAGTTGTCCCAGGAAAAAGTGTATCATCAATTGATGTAGCTAATATGCAAAGAGCTATAAATATAAATAAGACAAATAAAAAAGTGACTATTGTAAAAAGAACCAAGTTTTCTTACAATAGTCACTTATAACTATTAGTCACTTATATATAACTTTTACTCACCATAACTATTTGCTGTTTAAGAGTGAGTACTCTTGAACAGCAAATAGTTATAGATAATCTATCCACTAACTCTAGCACTTAAAGTTTGATGATTGGTGCATAGGTTTTTGTATTTTAGATACTAAAAAGGTTTCTCATTTATAGCTTAAATAAATTTGTAAGTTAGTTTCAAGCTGTTGTTTTTTATTATTTTTTGCTTTAAAAACATATAATATTCATCACCTAATATTCATGTACCAATAAATACGTAAAATATAAAACATTAGTCAATAATTATAATTCGGCAATTCCATGTGAAAACATTCAATTTTTTTAAAAATGCAACCCTAAGTCTCTGATTTTGCTGATTTTTATACCACTCAAAGATTTTAATAAGTTATGAACATTCAAAAAATTTTATCATCTAATTTCAAACAGTTTCAAAGATATGACTATTCAAAATTTGCCTTGAAGCAACAAAAATCTGCCATTTTAAAAAATAGTTTTGGTCTTTGTTTCTGTTCTGTGTACAATGGAAAGCTGAAAATATGTACACTTACATATTTTGAGGCAAGGAATCCAATAAAACAACTTAAAATATTTAAAAATAAACATAACCCCTGTAATTTTGACCTTTATTGCAATTTTACTGGGGAGTTTAAGTATAAAAATGCCTATGTAGCTCGATTTTTTTTTTTTTTTAGATCTCATCCCAAATAGTTTAGTTAGAGTTGTTACAAAGAATTGGAAAGTGGTCTTTTCTTAAACGGAAAAAAAAACATGGACAAATTTAATTAAATTTGTTACTTACAAAACAGGAATTATGAAAAATCAAAGGAAAAAAGGGTGGTACTCTTAAGTGCCTAATGCACAGAAGTCGATGTTTAATAATTTTTGGAAAATTTTCCCACCCACTCTGAGCTTATTAACACCTCTCCCCTTTCCTTTTATCAAATTTTACTCAAAAATGTGGAGTCCCAAAAAGGACTCCAGTTTGAAAGCCATAAAAAGATTTCTTCTTCCTAATTTTTAGTATCCAGGAGCACTAAAAATATTAAAAACCTTATAGACTACTAAGTTATGTATATATATATAATAATATAATAAGTTCCAAGTCATAAAATCTATTTAATTTTTTTCTTTTTGCAGATCATATAAAAGAATCAACCAATATGTTTAGAGCTTCTGCCCGCCTTAAAATGTCTCAAGGGACCCTTAAGGGTCCCTTAACGTTTAAGGGCATCTTAAGGGTTAAATTTTTTTAACATTTTTTAAAAAAAATAAATGAATAGTACATTAATACTCTTTTTTATTTTATTATAGTATATAGTTATTAATTCTTGTAACTTTGATGTAGAAAGTTCAAGAACATTCTATACCAATTACGTGGTCTTGTTGTAAACAGTTCTTAATTATTTTAATTGTAATTATGTATTTAGCGGTTTTTGTTATGTTGATTTTTGTGGGTTGTAATTTTATATAAATGGATGTAAAACTTTTGTAAAGATGAGTTGAATTGAGACAGAAAAGAAGTTTTGTTTCGAGCGAGAAAAACTACAAGCTAACCGGGCATGGATTCATATATTAAATTATTGGATATGTTTGAAACGTACGATGGAACTTCGGACGCTGCCATTTGGATACAGCGAACGAAAGTAATCGCAAAAATTATAATTTATAAAATTACTTCTAAGTGCAACTCTACATGTATTATAGCAGGTGACTTTAATCTACCACTCATAAACTGGTCAATCGCAATTAATTTTGGAGATTTATCCCATGAACTATTTGTAGAAACGTGTTCGGCAAATGCTTTAGACCAGCTCGTATCTGATACTAACCAACAACTCCAAAAGTGTTTTTAATGCAGAAGCTGTTGCCCAATTCACAAGCACTTGCAACCACTGTATGATTTTCAATTGTAATTTGGAGAAATCTAAATCAATTAAAAAATCAACTAAGTACAATTTTCACAAAGGTGATTACGTGCTCCAGTATATTGCAAAAGAAAAAATAATTTCCAACCTCTCTCTAACTTACTTTTCAAACTGCATTTTTATGGTATACAGTATGGATTGCTAAACTGGATTACAAACTTTTTAACAAACCGCTTTTAATGCGTCTCTGCCTCTGAAAACGAAGTAACAACAACGTAGTAACAACAACGTAGTAACAACAAGTTTTCATGCATTTCACAAGCATTTTATGACGTATTCATTAAAAAATATTAAACTTTTATTTTCTCCATAATCTCAAAGTATCACAAGAGCGTTTTATGGTAACGAAACCTAACAAAGTTAAATATTAAACACATAATTTAGATCATGGAAAATGACAAAAACTAAAGAATGTTTACCTTCTATAACTTTATAAGATTACACAGGTCTGCAACATTTTTTTCTAAGATAAAAGAGTTAATTCTTATGTATTTTTGGTCGCTGAATTCGAAAACGTTATCAAAAAAATTCCATCACGTAAGGTTTTTCTAAAAAAACGCAAAATGCTGTGGGATTGCCTATTTTAGAGCGCAAGACGGGGTTCATTCAGCGTTGAATCATATATATATCGGGATTTTCAATAGTAAGTATGGAAAATCTCGATAAATACAAATGCGGAGATTCCCAAGGAGTTTCCCTTTCATTTATTTGTTTCTGTTCCAACTTTCGTAACGTGCATTTCAAAAATGACTTCAAGAGGCTGTGTAAATTCTTCTGAGAGTTTTTGCTATATTTGTGGTGAATTTGTAGTAAAAAAACAACAAAGAAATATTACTGAATTTGTTAAAAATGTGTACTTTACGTATTTTGGTGTGAAGATAGGCAATCAGGAAAAATCTTGGGCCCCACATGGAGTTTGTTCAAGTTGTGTTGAAGGACTTAGAATGTGGTCAAAAGGTAAAGTTAAATCTTTTCGTTTTGGTGTTCCCATGATCTGGTGAGAGCCTCGAAATCACAGCGATGACTGCTACTTTTGTTCGAGCAATGTGCAGGGGTATAGTACCAAAAATAAAAAACAAATTTTTTATCCAAACATGGAATTGGCACTTCGCCCATTCCATCACGGACCTGGCTTTCCTACACCACAAGCACCTCAAAGCCTAGACGATTTACCATCATTAGAAAGTGAATCAGAAGAAAGTTCTAGTGACGAATTTCAAGTAGGCAACTCCAGTAGTCCTCAACAATTTTCTCAAGCTAAATTAAATGACCTGATCCAAGATTTAGGACTCTCAAAACAATCTGCTGAGTTACTAGGATCTAGACTGAAAGAGAAAAATTTATTGACACCTGGAACTTCTTTTGCTTGGTATAGAAATAGAGAAAAATATTTTGAGCCTTACTTTTCTCAATATGGTGAGCTGGTCTATTGTTCCAATATCATGGTATCCGATATCAGGTTATCGAATAACCGATGGGTTAATGTTCATGTTCAAAGTTCAACAAATAGCTGAAAATTGGAGACTGTTTATTGATTCTTCAAAAAGCAGTATAAAAGCTGTTTTACTTCACAACGAGAATATGTACGCATCAATACCCGTTGATCACTCAGTGCATTTGAAGGAAACTTATTGTAACTTGGCATTGATCTTTGATAAATTAAATTACAAAAAATTCGATTTGACAGTTTCTGGGGATCTTAAAGTAATTTCTATGATACTTGGAAAGCAAGGTACACAAAATTACCCTGTTTTCTTTGTGAATGGGATAGTCGTGCTGAAACTAAACACTGGAACCAGAAAGTGTGGCCTAAAAGAACATTGAAGGTCGGAAAGAAAAACGTGCACTTTGAATCTTTGGTTGATCCTAAAAAGGTCCTTCTACCACCACTCCATATCAAACTTGGCATGATGAAGCAGTTTGTGAAGGCATTGCTAAAAGATGGTGATACATTTAAGTACCTTTCAAGCAACCAAAAAATTTGAATTTCATGTGTTTATCACCCTCCATGTGCTGCCACCAGTATTTTAAGAACCAAAGCTTTATGCAAGTTAATTTATAGAACTACTTCTAAGTGCAACTCTACATGTATTATAGCAGGTGACTTTAATCTACCAATCATGAACTGGTCAATTCCAATTAGTTTCGGAGGTTCATCCCATGAACTATTTGTAGAAACGTGTTCGGCACATGCTTCAGACCAGCTCGTAACTGATAATACTCGCCAGAATAACCTTCTAGATCTTATACTAACCAACAACTCCAAAAGTGTTTAAATGCAGAAGCTCTTGCCCCATTCACAAGCACTTGCAACCACTGTACGATTTTCAATTGTAATTTGGAGAAATCTAAATCAATTAAAAAATCAACTAAGTAAAATTTTCACAAAGGTGATTACAACGCTATACAATCCGATTTACAAAATATAAACTGGTATATGCTTGCCAAGCAAAATCAAGATGTTTTTTTCCCTCCAAGAAATGCATTCTTTATAGAGAATACAAAAGAACTGATTATACATCCATTCGTATCAAATGCAAGATTTGTTCTCGTTTATCCGATGCAGAAATAAATAAATATTGTATTTCCAGAGAGAAAAATTTAGTTGATAAAGCTAATATTGTCCAGTTTTATTCTTTTTTCAAGCTCTTTAAATAAGGTAATGTTTCCATACAGTTCTGTAGTTTCATCACTACGAAATCTTCCATCAAAGTCCTTCAAATCATCTGATGAATACCCACAATACTTTTAAAATCAATTGGAAATGCCATAGCTATTTTCTATACTGTTTGAATTTTCAATGTCTAAAAATGCCATACCTTTAATCTGGAAAAACGCTATAATGTGCCCCATCTTTAAGAAAGGTAATCCATCTTTAACCACAAACTACAGACCTATTTCTATGACGTGCATTGTTTGCAAAGTTATGGAATCAATCATTGCAGAAAGCATTGCAAATTACTTGCTAAATAATAACCTTATTACCACTCATCAATTTGGCTTTTTAAAGTGTAGGTCCACCTGTATTCAGATATGAATACAGGTGGACCTACACTTATTCCTACACGGATTCAGATGCTGCAAATAACAAAAGATCATTGATATTGTATTTATAGACCTTGAGAAAGCTTTTGATTCCGTGACTCACTCTAAGTTATTGTTCAAACTGCATTGTCATGATATACAGTATGGATTGCTAAACTGGATAATAAACTTTTTAACAAACCGTTCTCAATGCGTCTCTGTCGGTAACTCGTATTCAAACAAAATTCTTGTAAAGAGCGGAATACCTCAAGGGACTGTTTTGGGGCCCATTTTATTTTTAGTTTTTATAAACGATGTAACTTCGTGTATTGATGGTGATTGCAGCATTAAGTTATTTGCCGATGACAGCAAAATATATCAAACAAGCAATTATGGAAAAAACAAACACTTTATCAATACCTTAAACAAATTTTCAGAATGGTCAAAAGATTGGCAACTTAATATTGAAACCATAAAATGTTTTCATCTTCGTTATGAAAACAGTTCTTTACCATTAAACTCATAATCAATAAACATTGATACACATATTGATTCTATTAATTCAATTCAAGATATTGGTATAATTTTATCTTTGGATATGACGTTTTCTGTTCACTGTTCTTTCATTGCAAGTAAGGCGCATTCTCGTTCTTACTTACTTTTAAAATCCTTCATTAGTAATGATTTCCAGCTTCTAATCAAAGCTTATAAAGTTTATGTTCGATCTATTATAGAATCTTGTACCCATTGGAATCCCCATCTTCTAAAAGATATACGTCGGTTAGAAAAGGTTCAGAAATTTTTTACTAGAAGTGTCTTTAAAAGATGTCGTATTCCTTATAAAGATTATTCTTCAACATTCAACATCTACAATCTACAATCTCTTGAATGCCGTAGAATAAAATTTGATTTTGCAATGACCTATAAAATTATACACAATCTTGTTGATCTACCATTTTTCGATTTTTTTACATTTGCTTCTTTATTCTATCCTACAAGATGTCATGCCTAAAAACTTATTTCACGTATCAAATTATCAAGATATGGAATTCTTTAATCGATTATATTGTTTACTCGTCCACTTTTCGATTTTTAATCGTTTTTTTAAATATCATATCTGTAATGGTCATTAAAATATTATGTCTTGGTTCGGTTCGCAGTTCGCAGTTTTAGGGACTATGTTATTTCTAAGATAGGATAAGTCATAACCAATAATCTCAAAATAAAACATTATTATTTGAGATCTGAGTTAAAGTATTTTGATATCCGTGTTAAAAGTTATTATTTTGAGATCAGTGGTCATAACATTTACTATTTCCCAGAAAGTATAAGAAATTGAGCTTTTCTTGTTTGAAAAATTATCATTTACTATTAATGATGCTGTCGGGGCAGTTTTGAACATTATGAATGGGGCACTTTTGATTCGTTTTTGAGATTTTCCGCACTAATAAAACTTCATTATTACGCCTGATTATCTAATGATAAAAATGGTTCAAAGCTAAAAGAAAGAGAGAAAAACAGAAATTAAAGAGGATGATATTAACAGTGCTGTTCTTCAAGTTGTAAGGGGTTTATAAAGCAGAACCAAGCTGCTAATACTTATAATATAAAACGTAATACTTTACATTATTGAATAAGGAAATATAAACAAGATTTATTATCTTAGATCAAGCTAGGGTTCACAACTAAGTATACTGTTTTACAAGTATTTAATAAAGATGAGGAGAATATGTTTAAAGACTCATAAAAAGCATTAAAGACCTTACAAAAAGCTCCAAAATAAATTATCTTTTGAAATACAAACAAGCAAGAGAACTAGCATTTCAATATGCTTTGAAACTTAGCAAATTTCCTGTTATATGGAGAGAAAATAAACAAGCTGGTATACAGTGGTTAGAGGGTTTCATGAAACGTCACAACAAACTTTTACTTCGTAAACCTGAAAATACAAGTTTTTACCGTTCATCAAGGTTTAATCAGCACCATGTAAATCAATTTTTTGACAACTATGAAAAGATTTTAAAAAAAGATTGTTTCACTCCTTATAGAATTTATAATATTGATGAAACCAACATAATGACAGTACTACAATCGCCTAATGTTATAACACCACGTGGAATAAAACAAGTTGGACAGTGTGTGTCTGTTGAACTTTGGGAGCTAATTACTATGTGCGGTATAGAAAATGCCATCGGAAATTTCATTTCGCCTGTGTTTATATTTCCACGAGCAAAGTTTTATGATACCATAATAAGAGGAGGATCTCCTGGATGTATAGTATATGCAAATAGTCCAAGAAGTGCCTAGATGACAGGGAAATTTTTTTTTTTTTTTTCTCTTTTTTTTTTCTCTGTTTTAACGTAAAGTAAAACTTTTACAACTTCATCATATAAAAATAAAAAAATAATAGTTACAACAGACAGGGGCTCAATGAAGATGTGGATAACCGTACGTCATCGCAATCTTTTCAAAAAAAAAAAAAGACCAGATACAAAGTTTAAACGAATATCGCTTAAAAAGTTATCTTTTGATGTCATAATGAAATTGTCAAGCAATTGTTTTTAAAAGTTTTAGAATATATAAAAAAAGTTAGCTAAACATTCAAAAAATGATCCACTTTTATTCTTAATGGACAATCGTGAAAGCGATTGTTCATTACATGCCATCAATTATAGTTATGAAAATGGAATTGTGCACACTGAAAAAAAATGTTGAGAAACCGCTCAACAAAAAATGTTGAGTCGATTTTCCAACATTATATATTGATTATAACGCAACAATGTTGAGAAACGGCAATCAACTTTGTTAAAAAATAAAATACTGTCATCTACGTAATCATGATGCTGCTGGTGAATTAAGAATGCCTGTTCGCTGTTGTCAATACAAGTGTACTACACCTTTTCAAGATGTAAATGAGAACATGAAAGTTGTAATTAAGAAGTCGTAATATGTAATTAAGAAACACAACATGTAATTGAGAAAACGTTATATGTAATTGAGAAACACAACATGTAAATAAGAAGTCGTAACATGTAATTAAGAAACACAACATGTAATTGAGAAAACGTAAGATATAATTGAGAAATCATAATATGTAATTGAGAAATCGTAACTTGTAATTGAGAACACATAAATTAAAATTGCAAATTCACAGTCTAAGTTTGTAGGTTGTTACAAAAGGTCTTTTTGGACATGAATTTAAGCTATAATCTTAAATTTTGCTTTTGTATGCACAAGTAATAATAATGGAATTGAAAGATCGTTGTGTTATATGCCAATACACTATGACCCGAAAGTCTGTGATTAAGCTAAATCCGTGTCAACATTTATGTCACCAAATTTGTTTACGTCCAGTTCTGGAACAACCAGATTCAAGTTGTCCGATTTGTCGGCATGAAATACACACAACTGAACAAGTTGAAAGGAAACGTTACGTTTTATCTTCTCCAAATGACAGGAGAAGAGTTGTTGAATGTGCGGAGCGATTTGAAGATTGGGTGAATCTCGCGCAAACGCTAGGTATCAAATATAAGACAGCATACAATTGGGTTCGCAGCGAAAATTCAAATTTCATCGGAAAAGGAGGTTTTAAACCGAAAAAGTTGACCGAAGATCAAATCGAAGAAACATTAACATGGATTGAAAATGATTGTCAATTAACATTGGTGGCCATCAAAACAAAGATATTAAGACAATTTAACATAAACGTTAGCACAACAACAATAGCAAATTACCTCGAAGGCAGATTGTTCTCATTAAAAAAAGTGCACAAGGAGCCTTTTACAATGAACAGTTATGAAAACAAACAAAAAAGAGCTGAATATGTTAGAAACATCAACGAACATATCACAAATGGTCGTCAGATAGTTTGGTTGGATGAAACAAATTTTAACCTTTTTTGTAGAAAAACGCAAGGACGCGCGAGACAAGGAAAAAGAGCAATTATGAAAGTACCTGCTTCAAAAGGTTTAAACATACACTTGATCGCAGCTATTTCAACTACAAATGTCGTCATGATAGAAACTCGCAGGGGATCATTTAAAGCAGATTCCTGTAACGAGTGGATGTTGGCTATGTTTCACCAGTGGGTGACATCCGGGAATCGTTTGGAGGATTTGGTCGTCGTAACAGATAATGCTCCTTGTCACGCTCGTTTGCAAAGGGTGTTTGATAATTCACCAGCTCAGTTGTTACGTTTGGGACCTTACAGTCCAATGTTGAACCCGGTGGAAACGATCTGGTCCAAAATTAAAAGTAACGTTAAAAATGCAATTCGCATTCCACCTGTATTAGGTGACGGGATTGCGGAACAGCGCATGCAGTACTTAGAACGAATTGTAATTGAGGCGAAAAATACTATAATGGGAGGAGATTGTGCACGTGCGGTACAACACACAACCACGCACTATGCAACTATTTTAAATATGGAAGACGTACAAGTTGGTGCTTAAATGATCAATGAAGTGATTTTTAATTATATAATTTTTAATTATAATTTTTAATGGAATTATAAATTTTTCCCTAAAATGTTTTTAGTGTTTATTATGTTAAATTCATTTGCCCAAAAATTATAAATTTTTCCCTAAAAAATTAAATTTACGCTACAAATCTTGCGTCATTTTTAAGTGCGTCATTTTATACGCTCCATTTTTTTACGCGCCATTTTTTTTAAGCGCCATTTTACACTTACTCCTTTAAAGCGATATCTAAATTAAAATTTTCGTGTTCTCAATTACATCTTTCTATTTCTTAATTACAACTTACATTTTCTCAATTACATGTTACGATTCTTAATTACAATTTTTGTTTTCTAAATTACATCTTATGTTTCTTAATTACAACTTACGTTTTCTCAATTACATCTTACGCTTCTTAATTACAACTTTTGTTTTCTCAATTACATCTTACGATTCTTAATTACAATTTTTGTTTTCTCAATTACATCTTGAAAAGGTGTAGTTCATTTCGCAGTTTGTGGAATCTTAAGAGGCACATGGATCAATATCACACTCAGTCACATTGTAAGAAAGGAGTTAGTCTCTCAGTCAATAATTCCAACAGTTTATGCTATAATAGGTACGCGGAAATCGTCGTTTTACGGAACCGATTTTTGTGCTAAAATTCTGTGCCACGTTTTTTGAAGTCTGCATTTAGTCAATGAGGAAGAAGCGTGTTTTCTTGTGTTTCTTTTTAGAATTATATATCAACATAGATATTTTTTAAAAACTAGAATGAATAAACTTTAATATGAAGTGTCTTTTGATTACAGTTTTTAATTTTTTATGTGGATTTATTGACTTTCAAAAATTAGTTGTACTTCTTGCACTTAGTTCATATTGAAGATATGCTCTTTATTTTTTCTAACCTATTCTTTACTTTAAGTTTACACCTTTTCTATGCACATGCCAAATTTCATCGATTTTATTTTTGCAGCACTATCTCTATTTTTTGCAGCACTTTTGGTACCTTTTGGTTCACTTTTCCGCCTTGAATTTGGGAGACAGGGGAGGGGGTAAAAGGTGTTGATAAATATAACAATTTCATTATATTTAGAGGAGTAAAGTTTTTCGTAAAAAGAAAGGTATCAGATAGTTAGCTTAATTTATCAATAACTCTTAGTTAGTACTTTGATTTTTGTCAAGTGATCTATAAATAAAATTATTTTTTTGAAGTCTTTTTATTAATTTGTTTGTTTAGATGTAAATATATATATATAATAATAATAATATTTCCCTATTTAAATATATATATATATATAATAATAATATTTCCCAATTTAGTATTTATAATATTTCCCTATTTAGTATTTATAATATTTCCCTATTTAGTATTTATAATATTTCCCTATTTAGTATTTATTATTATATTTATTGGTATTTATATTAAATAGTTAGTATTAGTTCTTTTATTCTATTATCTTAAACTCTAATCCAATAATTTTTCTCTACTCAATAACACTTCTTTCCTTCTACCATTATTCATATTATTAACCTTTATTATTTAATTATTTTAATCAGTTACTATTATTTTTATTATTATCTATTGTCAGTATTATTACGTACTTGTTTTTATTAGTTTTAGTACTTTTATTATATATAAATAACTTTAATTTTTGTTCCTTGGTTATTGTGTATGCTGTATTATTATTATTGTTATTATTATTATTATTATTATTTTTTTTTTATTTAATATTTACAAGGTCTTTTCGTTTTTGTTTTTTTTTTTTTGTTTTTTTTTGTTTTATAAGGTCTCTGCTTTGAATTAGTTGTGTACTATTTGCACTGTCCCTTCACAATAATATAGTTGTAATATTTATATTATATTGTAAACAGTATCTATTTTTGTGAAAAATATATTGATTGATTGATTATATATATATATGTATATATATATATATATATATATATATATATATATATATATATATATATATATATATATATATATATATATATATATATATATATATTATTGATTTTTTTTTTCCTGTTATTTACAGTTAGTAAAATTATAACTTTTTTTGTTGGTATTAAAAAGTTTGTTTAAACTACCAATCATTTGTCATTTGTTGTAGAAGGTATTTATGCTACTTTTTCAGTAACTATTTCTTTTATCAACTCTAACTTTTTATCACATTTGTTGTCTTATTACATAGAAGTTATTCTATTAAATATTTTTTTATAATTTTTAAGGTAATATGGGTCCAAAAAATAATTTGTGTGTATTTCGTGGGAAATTCAAAGAGTATATAGTTGCTAACTTCACATTATCATCTGAAACAAATAATCAGTGCATGGTAGGGCGTATGATTTTTGTATTTATAAAAAATAAAGAGGTGTTTAACTGTTAAAAAAGCCAACAAGTGTTTTGGCTTCAACATCAGCACAAATGATATCAAGACCATTGTAAATAAAGCAAAGAAATGTGTTTACAATTTTTTAAGAGACTCCAAACATTTTATTGCATTTTGCAAAGCCCTATGCATTCCCTAAACCAGTGTTTGACCAACCATTGCAGGCTATCTCTAGTAATATAAACACTATGTTTTGTTCTTCAACTGTTTCATCATTGGAAAACACCATTTCATCTCTAACAACTAGTGAATGTTTATCTTCACCAGGCCAAATTGTAAAATTACCAAGTAGGCAGAGTTCAGGAGAAAATCAAACTCTAAAAGAAAAAAAATGATAAAAAGATTGTCTCATTTGTCTTCAAAGTTTTCTATATCTACCAAGCAGTACCAAAAGAAGATAACATTATTAAAAAGTAAATTAAAAAGCATGCCATATAAGATTAAAGTTTTAAGGCAAAGTGTTGCATGAAAAGAGGAGGTTATAAAAACATTAAGGGGAGAAGTTCGAGACTTGAAAAAAAAATGCAAACATGCTATTACAATAAAATTATTCGCAATTTTAAAGCTGCAAAAAAAGCAATAAAAATTAAAGAAAAACAAAAGTTAAGAGATTTAATGGTCAAACATAAAATTGATGTTAAGGCAAACAAAATATTGATTGCAAACTTAGAAAATGATTTGACACATAGTCTGTAATGCTGATGATTATGAAAACCATATATGTAATGCAGAAGCTCGCATAGCTTTAGTTTAATCAGAATTTAACTTGCTTCCTTTTAATGAGTGTCATAGCTGGATTATTTCAAATATATCTAACACAATGTCAGGCAGGGTTGCAGTTAACCACCTTACCATATGTAAAGTTTGTGCAACATGGGGTAAGACTCTGAATGAGCTGAACTGTCATTTGCATCCTCTCAAAACAAATGCAACTTCATGTTGTTCAACATTACATTCTCTGGAAAAAGAAAGTTGCCAATTATTTGGCAATGACTGTATGGCAGTCAAAATAGTTTTGGTGATGAACAAGATGAGGTTTAAAGATGGCAAAGGTGATCCAGAAGGATTTATTAATTTTTTAGACAATAACAAACTGCCACGATGTATCATTCCAAGATATCGTGGCAATCGTCTTTGCATTGTTTTATTTTTCATACATCCATACTTGCTTTATTTTTATGAAACACTACAATGCTTTTAAGCAGTTTCTTACCATTGGAATAGTAAAATGTGGCAATTTACAAACTGTTTTGAGGTCAGCATTTTGTAATACAACTGCCATAAAACAAATGGGTGTGCTAGCAATATTTGGAGTACTTCTTACTGAGCCCTGGATGAAAAAATTTTATGTATCAGCTGAATCTGCGAGTTTTGATCATGTTGCTGGTATTCAAGTAATGAAAAATGCTGCTTTTTTGATAGACGGCTCTGGCTTACATTCTCGTTGTGTCATTAAAAATTATTATTTTGTTTCATTAATGAAATTGCAAATTTTAATCATTTACTAAAAGCCAAGACAAATTCATCATAATTTTTTTTTATAATATTTTTATTAAAAATTTTTTTTTTTAAGTTGGAGGGGGTTTAAATGCCCTTTACTTTTGGAGGAGGTTTAAATGCTTCTTACTCTGAAAGATGTTTACTTGATTGCATCTTGTAATATGGTAAATGTTTTTATATTAATCTTTCTCTATGAAAATAATCATATTTTTTAAACATTCACATTTTTTAAATAATCAATTTTTTTTAGGTTGGATAAGGAAAGGATGGGGGCAGACACCCCTCCCCCTAAGTCACTGTATTCACCACTACTCTATGTTGTAATTTAGTAGAATATGATTTTCATTTGTAATACTAGATTTCTTTTTTTTAATAAATATATAAATGTTTATATGAATGAAACATTTTTAATAATAGGGTGTGTTAAACCACCACCTCTGTATCCACCCTAACGTAAAAATACACTTATCATATTTGGTGGTTGTCTAAAAAAAATTGCATTAAGTTTTTGTATATAAAAATTACTAGTTTAACAAAAAAACACTCTTCTATGGACGAAATATGTATTTTTGGGTGGTAAAGATGGTGGTTCGGCGCCCCCTTTAACACCCTGGATGCGCCCATTAGGAAGAGGCTATTATATATTTGTAGCCCACTGTTACATCTATCTTTTGATACCAAGTTATAGGCATTTGGATAAGAATTGACAAAGTTATAACAGTTTTAGTGAAGAGAAACAAAATTTTGACCACAGTTTCTTCAACAAATCCATATATCAAAAATTTGCAACTAAAAATCGCATAACTTTTTGTAGGATTGTCCGATTATGATAATTTTTTCACCATTAAAATTCTGTATTGAAGGGCTTTCTAATGATATATAGCATTCTAGTATTTAATCAATTTAAAATTTTCATGTCACATACCTAGCTATAATGATGATTTTTGTAATTATGAAGAAGCAGATCAAAATAAGCGATTCAAACTTTCAGACATTCATAATGAGGCAGTTTCTTTGGTATCTTCTCTGAGATCAAACAGTGGTTTACCTCATAATATAATCTCTTGTATCATTCCATCCTTCAATAATATGACTGACTGTTTAGTAAATTATTTAAATGAACAAGTTCTCGAGTTGTTAAAGTATGTGCCTAATGTTAATCAAGGTGTTTTAAATAATATTGAAGAACTTTTTAAAAAGGTTCAAAAACCTCTTAATTTTCTTTCTACAAAATACAAGCAAGATAAATATTTTACTGAACATCCTCTTTTTGTTAATTCTGAAACACTTCCAATCGGTTCTAGGTATGAGGTTAAAAATGGAGTCAATAAATTAGTCCATGACACCGATGAGTATGTGTCAATTGAAAACAATTTTCGCAGCTTATTCAGTCATGAAGAGTTTGTAGAACTGATTTTAACTAATGAAATTAAAGATAATGACTTAATTGACTGTTTTCAAAAAGGAGAGCGCTGTAAAATGCATTATTTATTTACTAATAATGATAAGTTTTCTATAATGATTCAACTATTCTACGATGGTATGGGAACAACAAATCCACTTCGTGGAAATGCATCAACCAGTAATGTTGGAGTTTTTTATTATACAATCCAAAATTTACCTCCTAGTCATAACTCTTGTTTTGCTAATATACATCTGTTGGCACTTTGTTATAGTCAAGATTTAAAAGTGTATGGCTACAATAATATATTAGAACGGTTTGTAAGTGAAATACAAAAACTGCAATCGGCTTTAGTGGGGACTTTCCAATAATTGGTTCTAAACAGATTTATGTAGGACTTAGCCAGGTTTCTTGTGATAATCTTGCTCTTAATGGGTTGTTTGGTTTTATTGAATGTTTCTCTGCAGATTTTTTTTGTACTATATGTTTAGCAACTAAAGAAACAATACAACTTAAAACATACGAGTCTGATTTTGAAATAAGAACAATAGATTCTTATAATAATGATTTGAAAGCATTAGAAATGCTTGCTTTAAGAACTCATAGTCATGGTGTAAAAGCAAATTGCTGCTTGAATAAAATACCTGGTTTTCATGTGGTTGAAAATTTTGCTCTTGATCCAATGCATACACTACTAGAAGGTGTTGTACCTTTTGAACTTGGTTGCATTCTTTATCATTTAATAAAAATCAAACATTTCTCATTATTGGATTTAAACACTTGCATGCATCAATTTTTTGATCGTAATTCAATAGAAAAATCAAAAAGACCACCCACAATTTGCCAAGTTGAGAAACCAGGAGGAGGTCTTACACCTTTAATGAAGTCAGTTCAAATGTGGTCTTTGCTTAAGTATTTGCCTATGATTATTGGTAGATTTGTACGTGAAGATGATGGGTGCTGGCTTTTTTTGTTAAATTTATGTGAACTTGTAGATTTAATATTTGCTCCTAAGTTTACCAAAGGAATGATAGCCTATTTAAGAGTTATTATATCTGATCATCTATTGGATTTTAAGGATCTGTTTGGAAAAGCAGCAAAGTTGCGTCCTAAACATCACTTCCTTGTCCACTTTCCTACAATTATCATAAAAAATGGACCTCTTGTTGGAATGAGTTGTCTTCGATATGAGATGAAAAATTCATTTTTTAAGAGATCTGCAAATGTTGTCTGCAACTTTATTAATATTTGCAAGACTCTAGCTTATCGCCATCAGTGTAACTCATTTTACTCACGTTTTTCAAAACAGTATTTGAGAACTATTATCACTGTAGGGAATAAATCTGAATTTATGGCTGCAAGTCTTGCGGGTACTTACCATGAATGTCTTTGCATTGAACTTGGTATAGAAAAGACAGAAATTATTTGTATAGCATTGAAATTGAATGTTGATTCTGTTTTATATTGCAAAGGCCATTGCTTTGTGATTGGTCGCCAAATAAATAGTGATCCAGTATTTGGAGAGGTGGTAGCATTTGTTAGTTTACCTTATACTGATAAATGGTACATTGTGCTGCATTTATGCATTACAGAGTATTTTGATAGCCATTTTCATGCATATGTCATGTCTCATAGTTTGCCTGCAGAATTTAAATGTATATCCATTGTCAGCTTGTGTGACCATAATCCCCTTTTTAATTATTTGCAACCTGGTAAAGATAACAAAAATCTTATTCGACTTCCTTACCATATTGTATGTTAAAGGCTTTATTAACTTAACTGTTAATTTTGTTATTGGATTTTGAAATAAATATAATACAATTTTTACTAAAAATTTTAAAATATTTTTTTTAACTTTATTTTGTCTCAAATTTGTAATAATACTGCATTACATTAAATAAAATACAGTGTTAGTTGTTATTAGTAGTATTAACATTGTTCTTTTGCTCGATATTAAAATAAAAATTATATATATGCAAATTATAAAATTTCCATATATAAAATTATAAATAATTTCAATTTTCATTTTGTTATTTTTAGTTTAGTTTCTTTTGCCAAAAAAAAAAAATGGATGTTCTTTTAAAACATTTATCTGGTGTCTTGAAAGGCAATCTTTCAGATGAAGTCATGCATAGAATTCGTGGTATATTTTATTTTATAGTTTACTTGGATATAATTATTACTAATTATTTAAATGAATTGTTTTTTTAAATATTAGTTAACATTTGTTAATATGTATTTCACTACTATTTCTTCAAATCATGTTAATAGTAAATATAACTGATTTTAAATAGTTTATTGTGATTATGTAACTTTTGAATAAACTTTGATTTATTGAAGAGGGATTGACTCTAGATTCATTTGTTTTGCTTAATGAAGAAGATCTTCGTGAGCTAGGTTTAAAGATGGGTGAGCGAAAGCTTTTGATGTCCTGGATAAAATCGAGTGGTAAAATAGTTAATTGTAATTAACGCTTTAAAATAATTTTATTAATAGTTAAAAAGATTTTTTTCAAGTTAACAATTGTACTGTTTTATATAGTTTGTAGTTTGATGAATAAAAATTTAGATTTTAGCCTGTTGTTTGTTTGATAACAAATTAATTTTAGTGAGCATGTGCTTCCTAATTATCTTAGCCAGGTCTCACTGTTTAAAATAATATGTTTTTAAAGCAGTCTAGTTTTCAAACATTGTAGGTTATTATTTAAGTATTATTTGTTATATTAGTAACTGCACAATCTTCAACAGAATGTTCTTTAACGTTGGATCCAATATCAGTATCAACACCAGCTGCAGTGATACCACCATTACCTGCAAGTGATGTTGTAATTGTAGAGCCACAGGTAATGGAACAAAATAATATGAAAAAAGTGCATTTATGAATTATTAGTATAATTATTAATTATATTGGAAAAACAGCTCATTAATAACAGTTTTGTGTAGGTTTATGCAATCAAGGAATTATTATGCAACTATACAAAGGGAGGATCTAAAATAGTTGAAAAGCTGAAACAAGGCATCTACTACACAAGATCAGAACGTATTTTAATGATTAAAGTTTTGGGAAAATATCTGATGAAAAATTGTTTAATGTGAGTGTGCAACATTTTTATCTTATTGAGTTTTATTAATGTTTAAAATTATTATTGTAACTTTATTTAAACGTAATGTTAAATTTTTTACCCAAATCTTTTTGTCAAAATGATCCTAGTTCCAAAGAAATGACAAATATGGCAAAGAGTATTGTCACAGAATTTCCGGTTCTTTTTTGCAAATCCACACCAAATGGTTATGTAAACATTAATTAGTATAGTTGTGTATTTTCAAACACTAATTGTAAGGCTAGGCTAATACTAGCTCTTTTTTTTTTTAAAGGAAGAAATCTACTGTGAGAAGGGTGCCACAGGATATCTTGCACAATATGTGCGACAAAAGCGTCACAGAGACCCATTTATTAAAAAGCATTGGGCTTGGCGAAAAAACAGGTTTATCTTTTAAAAAAATCTCAGTGTTACTTTTTTGTTACGAAAATGTACATGTAAGTATATTCATTTAATTTTTGTAGAATTCCAATTACCAACCCTTTACCAAACATTGATGATGATAATGATGATGAGCGTCGACTTCGAGAAAGTAGGCCAACGAAAGGAAACCTATCTGAATTAGTGCAGCTCATGCATAAAACTAGAGAGAATAGACGAGCTTGGATCAATGTACATACCTGCAATCCTGATGCTACTAGTATTTTAAACAGATTCCCTCGTTTATTTGATGTAAATGAGTTGGTATGTTCTTTATTTTTTGAATAAATCTATAAGTAAAAAATATAATAAAAAGTTAAATGTATTTTATATGCAACTAAATGAAGCGGAATATGCCAAGTATTAACATATTATAGCAAAATCCTTTTCAGATCATCCTGATATTGCTACAGTTTGATATGAATTTTCATAGATGGATTAGAATAAATTTAAAATTCTTATTACTGAGTATACTTATTCATGAAATTTCATGAATAATTTCATATCTCGTCCATGAAATTTTGGGAAAAAAAAAAATAAAACGAAAATAACAATTTTGCAAATACAACAAAATTTTGCAAAAAAAAAAAAAAGAAAAAAAATTCTGTTATTAGTATTGTTAAAAAATGTTAAAAATAGATGTAAAAATTATCATTCCGTTATTTTTAGATAAACAAGGAGTTTGCAGCGATTGCAGGTGAATTTCTTTCTTTGCGAATTGCTTGGTTATCTTTTCGTTAAAAGATTCTGCTATACTCTGAAAAAAAACTTAAAGATAACTCTACTATCCAGCAAATGTCCAAAGCGTACCTATCTGATGAATATGATGAAGGTATACAAGTTTTAAGAGTTATTAAAGTGTTACTAGTTTCTACATAAGACAAAATTTAGTTAATTATCTTTTGTAGACAAAAAGACTGAATTATCGTTCTTGCTGTTGCCGCACATATTAATACCACCACCGTAACGAGGTTTAAAAGCTCCAAGAGTCGGGAGGGATGTTGTATCTAATCTGATGTTTGTAGATATGAATGAGGCAATTTTAAATCATTTTTAAAATAATGAAATCATTCAATTGTCACTCAATCATATTCAAATTGTTTTATAAATTATAAATCTATATTTATTTTCATTCATACAGGAACAGATGAGTGTCCCTGAAGCAGTTGCTTCTTTGCAAAAAAATGTATGGGCTGGTATTGACAACCTTCCACCCTTGCTTTTTCGTCTGAATAAGATTTATTATATCAAATTGGATGCTCGAGCCATCGAAGTTCGTGATACAACTTGTTTTTGTGATGCGGTAGAATTTTTGTTAAAGTGTTTTTATGTGTTTAATTTATCGTATCCACACGAAATTAAGCCAGTTTATGGTCTGCTCGAACATGTTATGCAGATGAATGTTTCGATCGGAAAAAGTGCTGCTTTATCAGACTTCTTGGGAGCAATCGTTTAAAAGTTGCACAAAAGAACTACAAATAATTTTATTTCTAAATTAAAATAAAACTTCATTAAATTTTGTAGTTATTTTTTGCTTTTTATTTTATTCTGAAGCATCAAGCATTATTACTTTGATATTAAATTAATTAGACTATCAAAATACAAACTAGAGATCCCACATACATATGATACACCTAACACTCTATTGAATATCATGGAATGACTCCCTATTTGTACGCGCAATTGCTAAATTCATGCTTTTATTAAAATTCAGTTTTGAGATAATTTAAAAGAAGTAGAAAGCGCAGTCCTTAAAATGCAGAATTTAAAAAAAATTGCTTACAACGCAGTCCTCGCTAAAGTAATCTTTCTCAACATTTGTTTTGTCAAAATGCAACATTTAATGTTGAAAGTTGTCAACAAAATGTTTGTGAGTCAAAATTGAATGTTGCGCGGTGATCAACATTTTTATTGCGTTTTCGCAACATTCGTTTTCTGTGTGTATACTACTATAGCGGGGCAACCTGGCGAATGAGGCAAGATGGCTTTTCATATAACAACTCAACAAAAAAAATCTTAAAAATGAGTGAAAACAAAACTGTATTTACATCTTGTATTTTAAAACCCTAATTGGATTTTTTTTTAATATTTTATAACACAATTTTATACGCATGAATTTACTTTTTGCGCTTAAAAAAAAATTTCTCGGTTTCTGTTTCTCATAATGGATGATGTCTTTCGGGTGTAACTTTTTTAGAAGCAGTTTTTGGCTATATGTGTTTGTTTTGTACTATTTTAGTTAGAGTATTTGGTAGTTTTTAAAATGTTATACAATTGGAGGCAGAAACTACATAATAAGTCATCTTGCCCCGATCCCGTGACCATATGATAAATTTATGAACTTTTTATTTTAATATTTATTTCAAATTTTTCTCTTTGCCAACTGAAAACTCATAAATCAGGCAATAAATTATTTTAATAATATGAACATACTGAGAAAGTGTTATTGCTTCAAAACGGCAACTATTGAAAAAAAAATCTAACTGGATTTTTCTCCAAAAAAAAACTAACTGGATTTTTCTCCAGATTTTTCTCCAAAAAAAAATTAACTGGATTTTTCTCCAGATTTTTCTCCAAAAAAAAACTAACTGGATTTTTCTCCAGATTTTTCTCCAAAAAAAAACTAACTGGATTTTTCTCCAGATTTTTCTCCAAAAAAAAACTAACTGGATTTTTCTCCAGATTTTTCTCCAAAAAAAAACTAACTGGATTTTTCTCCAGATTTTTCTCCAAAAAAAAACTAACTGGATTTTTCTCCAAAAAAAATAACTGGATTTTTCTCCAGTCGCAATAGGTAAACCAATTGTGACTGGAATTTTTACGAAAACTTCATACGATCAACTATTGCCTTGGTAAAGTAAAAAGGAAGCGAAATTCCCAAAGTTACGTTTTGTCAAAAAAAATACATAAATGCCAACATATCCCATACGCATGCGCAAATCCTAACAATACAACAGTGACTGATGAAATTGTCAATTAGGAAGGTTCTATGTAATTTTTAGCACTTTCTGATGAAAAGCATTGAAGATAAACGTAGCTCTTCAATTTCGACTGCTGACAACTTGCCGCGGTCTTCCCTACTCTTTCAAATATTTTTGAAAATACCGGCAGAAGTGAAATTTTTTACGTTGAAGTTTGGCTAACGCTATTTTAAACTTGTGTTTAGTAGATTTATCAGTAGATATACTAGAATACGAATGTAGAGTAGAATGGGGTTTCTAACACACAAACACACACATACTAAAGTTGGGTTTAAAACACAAAAAAACACACAAATACACTAGAGTGTTCCTTATATGAGTAAAAAAAATTTTTTTTTGGATTTAAAAATGAATACCCGCTATTTTTTTAAAACTACCCAGGCTTACTTAAAAGCAAAATTTTAACTTCCTACGTCAGTATTAACCCGTGCGAGACAGAAATCTGAAAATACTGTTTCAAACTCTTTCGGTTTTGTGTGAAAACCTAAATCAATAGAAATATTTTTTATAAAATAATAATTAAAAATAAATGAAATTATAGACCAGGACATATTCTTTGAGTTTTTTTTTTACAGTCTGGGTACAAATTTATGCTCTTAAACACAGCGTAGCAAAAGTGCAACTGATTTTCCTTTTTTTGTGGGTTTTCACTTCCTTTGATAAAGATGAACAAGTACTAGGAGTGTTCAAATTTTTCAAATTATTTAATACTGTTGACCGCAGTACCTCACTTTCAAAAAAAAATCTTCTACGGAATTCAAGGTCTTACGTATTCAATTACGGATTCAAAACTATCTAACAGTATGTTATGATGCAAAAATGAGGAGCTTTCAATATAGTGTGCAGATTCATACAGAGATCAGTTCTATGGCCATTACTATTTTTAATATACATCAATGATAAGCATAAAGCATCATCTAAAATACTTTCTAGAATTTATGCTGACAAGTTAGTATAACTTGTTTAATTCAAATATTCTGCTTGAAACTATGAACTTATCTCTGGTTAAAAGCCAATAAACTGCCTTTATAAAAAAAATAGTTTTACACTTTTAATAAACAACTAATTTATTATTAACCTAAATTAACTTCATTAATAAACCTTCCATTAAAGTTACCAATATTGATTATTGATAAAAAAAGAAGTACTTAATCTAAACGTAAATTTGATAATAATCTAAACGTTGTATTTGATGAAAAATTATTATGGAGAAACCATATAGGTCTCATAGAATCAAACATATTTTCTGCAATACGTGGGTTGTATAAATCGAGGTATTTTCTTAGTATAAAACCACAAAAATATTGTACTTTAGCCTTGCTTATAGTCATCTTTCTTACGGTAATATTGAATGGACAAACACACTAAAATATTACGGTAATATTGAATGGACAAACACACTAAAATATTACGGTAATATTGAATGGACAAACACACAAAAAGAAACTAAAAAAATTACAAACATTACAAAACCATCCATGTAAAGTAATACATTTTATGAATAAATTAGATAATGCAACCCGTGTAATGAAAATAATGAAGGCCTTAAATATAGCGAATCTAAATTTCAGATTCTTATGTTATAAGTTTCAAAAGAAAGCCTTCTACCAAAAGTTATTTCAAATATTTTATTAGAACTTTTTCATCAGTAAAATCTTCGATAAAATATTAGCAAAGACTATTTTTGAGATTCAACTAGTTCCAAAATGTTTAGACTTTCATTGATGATTCAAGGTCTGTTATTATGAATAAATGAAAATACTAGTATAAAAAACTTAAAAAGCTTGTCTTCGTTTAAAAAGCAAACAAAATTGCATCTCCATGATTTTTGTTTTTTTAAAGCCTTAGGGAACAAAAAATAAATTTTAATAATAAAGTAAAAAAGTTAATCTTTCAAAAACTCCGACATCGTGAATCTTTCAGAACTCGAACATCGTGAAACTATAAAGGAAATTTACACCTACTATTTTTATGCTTTGTCCATTTTTTCATGGAGAGCAAATAAATTTAAAAAACTTTTTTATAAGTGACTTAAAAAACGTTTAACTATTAAAGAAATGTTGTTTTTTTTAAGTTTTTTTATTCTTTAATCAATACAACTTTGTAATATATAATAAAAATCGTTTACAGAGTATAATAAAATAATAAAAATTCACAATATTATGTTATACAAAAAATATGCAAAATAATACTGTAGATATATGAATATTATTATATAAAGTACGCGGAAACTTGCAGAAGACCAGTGGTCTTGTCATCAAGAAACCGCAATGCGTAGCTGATATTTTATATACATATATATATATATA